GTATATCCATTCTCAAAAAGTCCCTTCAATAACGATCTTAATATGGAAGAGCGTACTGAGCGATAATAGAAGAATATTTATGGAACCGGGCTGTATAAAGTTGCCGGTCGTAAGGGCGGAAGAGAATACTTTTGTACAAAGAATATTATGGCAACCAAGCTTTCTGTAAATATCAATAAGATAGCCACTCTTCGTAACAGCCGTGGCGGAGATAACCCCAGTGTATTACAGGCGGCTATAGACTGTCAGGCTTTTGGCGCCGATGGAATCACAGTACACCCAAGGCCTGATGAGCGCCATATCCGGTATGCAGATGTGCGGGCGATCAATAATATTATTACTACTGAATTTAATATAGAAGGAAACCCCAAAGAACAGAAATTTGTAGACCTGGTGCTGGAAACCAAACCCGCACAGGTAACCCTGGTACCCGACGAAATAGGCCAGCTCACCTCTAATCATGGATGGGATACGGTTAGAGAAAAAGACTTTTTGACAGAGATCACGGCTGTATTCAAAAATGCAGGTATCCGGGTCTCTTTATTTGTAGATCCTGTTGCTGAATTGGTGAAACATGCGGCTAATACAGGTACAGACCGCGTAGAACTCTACACAGAAGCATATGCCCAGGGCTTTTTAAAGAATAAAAAGGAGGCAATTAAAAATTATTTGGACGCCGCTGCTGCTGCCAGAAGTGTAGGGCTGGGCTTAAATGCCGGGCATGATCTGGATTTAAACAATCTCGGTTTTTTTGCACAGCATATACCTGACCTTCAAGAGGTTTCTATTGGTCATGCACTTATAAGTGATGCTATTTATTACGGATTAAATAATGTGATACAACTATATAAGCGCACATTAATAATTAGATAACAAGCATAATATCTCTTCATAATCTTCCCGGAATACTTTTGCGTGCTTTGAATTTTGAATTAAATTTTTTTATTTTTAGCAGTTACCTAAGCACGTTAACTTCACATTAAAATCAAATTCGATGTAATTTGGTGATAATGTTTGTTAATTTTGTCTGATAACCCCGTACATTGCTGTAGAATAATAACTACGCGCCAGAATTTAGACAGTATTCAAACAAAGGGAATCATGAGGAAAATTTTAGGTGTATTTTTAGGCGTAATAGTAATTTTTTACTGTTCAATCGCTAAAGTACACGCACAGGCACCTGTAGCCAATTTTTCGGCTAGTACAACAACTGCATGTGCACCTGCGTTGATCACATTTAATGATCTTAGCACGGGTAACCCAACGGCCTGGGAGTGGAATCTTGGCAATAATACAGTTGCCATCAACCAAAATCCATCCACCAGCTATACGACACCGGGCACTTATACCGTCTCTTTAAAAGTAACCAACGGGAGCGGTACTAATACAAAGACATTAGTGAATTATATAACAATTGTGCCAGCGCCAATTGTTGGATTTACCAGCGTGGATACTGCGATTAGCTGTGTACCGAAAACGGTTGTTTTTACAAATACCAGTAATCCTAA